AAATTACGTAGAGTATATATAACGCATGCACTTGTAATATAACCATTCCTGATGATGACTAAATAAAGTCGAAACGTTGAATCAAAATGCTTACTTTATTCGGAGTTACCGTTGTATTGTATTTTATGAAAATACTCAGTGGTTCCCGCAACAATTGAATATGTTTGCGATGTTACTCTGAGTGCATATCCACACCGGGCGAGCTTGAAAAATATGCCCGGCCACGGTGGGATTCGAACCTACGACCTTTGGAATACTAGCCCAATGCTCTTCCAACTGAGCTACGCGGTCAGGACGGTTCGAGTAAGTGATATTTCGGAACAGTATCTTCAGTATCTTTCAGATACTGTTCCGAAATATCACTTACTCAAACCGTCCTGACCGCGTAGCTCAGTTGGAAGAGCATTGGGCTAGTATTCCAAAGGTCGTAGGTTTGAATCCCACCGTGGCCAGGCATATTTTTCAAGCTTGCCCGGTGTGGATATGCACTCAGAGTAACATCGCAAAAATATGCAATTGGTTTATAATAATTTCCACCTCAAGTCACATGTAAGATGAGTAAGTCTACCAAACACCATAACACTAGATCTGTAGAAAGAACAGTTTAGAACTGGTACTGTTGTCTCTCTGTCCAATACAAATAAAATTAGTTACATTTGAGTGTTTGAAAATAATTTACATAGACTACCAAACATTTCCTTACCGAGATAATTTCTGTTCCAGAATTTTTTCTTGTTCACTAAAAATCTTTTCCCTTCCTAAAAATACCAATCAGACTCTATGAACATGGAGGTAAAGAAACAAAGTAAGCCTTGGCTGAATGCTACACTTACTCTCAAGATCTTTCTCTCTGTCATCCAAGGCTTTTTCTCGTTGTTTCAAAAGATCTTCTCTTTGTTCAAACTCAGACATTCTTAAAAATGGAACAAAATGTTTAAAACATTTTGAACAGCTAGTATCATTACACAAGTAATCTTGAGCTGCTGTATTGCAAACTTTGAAAATGGACATTATGTACTAACTGAGATGGATATGAAATTAGCCTTTCAATGTGCTTCTTCTTTAAAATGGGATTCTCTGCAAGTTCTGCAACTGATGGTCGAAGATCATCCTATTTACAAATCATATAATTATAATACTTCACGACAATAGGACATACATTTCTTAACATTACAGCCACTGCTCTAGAGGTGTCCCAGAAAACAATTAAGCTACAATTTGTACTGTTTTATTATAATTTTTACTTTGTCTAACATGCTTAGACAGTTTCACTCTGTCAAACACAAGATATGTTTACTTGTCTTTGAAAAAATATCAAGCATTTTAATAATGGATGAATGTTTTAATTTTATGATTTCAAGATATTAAAGATGTGTACAAAAGAAGAGGTTAGACTGAACTTTTTATGTTGACTTGAAACTTACATTTACTCTAAGCATGATAGAAATCAGATGGCTAAGTGACTCAGGATAAGTTGATGGTATTGGACGGAATCGTCCTGTCTTAATCTTTGCTGCAAGAGACTTCTGATTGGCTGCAAGGAAAGGTGGAACAAGAGCACATGTTTCATACAACAAGCAACCAAGCGACCACACATCAGACTTGTCATTATAACCAGTTTTGTTCATCTGCTCCTAAAAAGCAAGTTTTAACTATAATGAATGTGTGACGAAAATGGAGGCAAATCACAATTTGGGAGAATACATCTTTACCGGAGACATATAATATGGTGTTCCAACAAACGTTTTGGCCATGCTCATATCATGTGACAGAACTCTCGCTAACCCGAAATCCCCAAGTTTCACATTCTGATTTGCATCAAGAAAAACATTGGCAGGTTTGAGATCTCGATGTAGAATATGCTGTCCATTCTCTCGTTTGTGGCATTCCTGAAGTGCTGAGATGAGCTGCGAAAACAGCTTCCATATAAACTCACTCTCTAAGTACTTTCTGAAAATTAATAATAGAAATTGATAAGCTTTGGGTTCATGTTGACATTTTCACATGGACAACTTTAATTTGTCCAACTCATTGGCCATATTTCTCTTGTATATATTGGCACTATTAACACAAATATACAACACATTTCAGCATTAGAGCTGTGCAAACTCCAGTCATTTTAGCTCCGCATGGTCACATGGCATTTTCGCCCAAAATACATCTGAGTCAACAGATTTTTGTGTCAAAAGCAATAGCAATGCGCTTGCAGAATTTTCGAAGCCACAAATCGTATCAGAGAAAGTAATTAAACCTTATAGTAACTTCAAATCATTCAACTTAATTTTTCCATTACCAAAAGTTCATTGAAATATGAAATAATTTTTCATAATTTTGTCTGCCGGAGTTTTCAAAATATGCAGGGGCTCCGGTGCACAGCTCTATTCAGCAATCAACTTTTACCTTTCTTTTTTGCATTTTGCTATAACTTGACCAAGATCTCCTCCTTCACAGTACTCCATAACCAAGTATATTCTTGTATTGGTTCTGTCAATAATTCTATCATAGTACCGTACAATGTTTGGATGTTTTAGTTCCCGCAAAAGGTTTACTTCTGACACTAGCATCTGCTTTTCACACTCCGACATTGTCCCATAGTCAAGTTCTTTCCACACTAGTATCTTAAAAGTTCATCAATAAAAATAGGTGGATTTTACAAGTATAGACCCATTAACATGATATGACCTGTCGTATACAATTCTTATCCTGGAGTATGTACTCAAATTAATGTGTGTAAAGATATCACATTTCAAATTTTCCCATGAACTGATGAACAGGAATAGTGGCATCAGCAGTTGTTGTCATATGCCAGAATGATAATTGTATACAACTAGTTGTATCGTGTAAATGGGCCAATTTAGACTACACAACTTTTTTATAAAACTGTTGCATGCAACCTGCTTACAACTTTGAGTTGTACTGTGTAAATCAAGCACACAACTCATCTATGTTGTCGTATACCAGTTGTGTGCTTAAATTGGCCTTAAATACAGCAGATGTTGGTCAACCAGCAGATGTTGGTCAAACAGTTTTTGGTTGGTCAACCAGTAGATGTTGGTCAACCTCTTATTAACAGAGAAAGAATATATCAGCTATCTGATCTATTTTTAAATGTGTATTTATTGATCTTTGTATTTTATATTTAACCTGGGAAATGTAATATAATTTGCTTGTTCCTATTAGTATTAATATCAACATTCTTACTAGTAAACTTGACCATTTAATATCTGCAATTCTTTGACGCCACGAATATGAATAACACTAATAATTTTGTAGTTGTGTTTATTGTTAACTGTGGTTGGACTGCCTCATTCTTTACATCCCGTTTATTTATTCAGGACAACTTTCATTTATGAATTAAACTAGAATGAGGCAGTTCTTTTCAATCTTGCACTATATATACAGCTTGATATACAGTAAATTTATATCAGTAATATGTAACATGCGTCATTCATGTTTTTATACACAAATTTTAATACAGTCTGAATTTTGAACAGCGTTATAACTTATAAATAGAAACTTACCTTATTATCAGACCTCCGTCGCACTTTTTTACATGTCCCATAGGACCCAGAACCTATTGTTTCTAAAACCTCATAATGGTCTAGTTTATTTGACGGCATATTGCAAAATCTGTGGGAAATATTTCAAAATTAAAAACCTTCGAATGAAAACAAAAATCAAATATGGCGCAAGCAAACGGTAATTAAATTTCCCGCATTTTCATTGGATGATGTTATATCTATGGATGATGTCATAGTGTCGTCATCTATGGTCGTTACCAGGTGTCCGCGCGCGTGGCGGTTGCCCTGACAACAATGTGATAAACAATATGGCGGCCCAAATGGAAAATTCAGATCAATCCGCTGCAGCTATACAAAAGAGTATTTCGGCTGCTTTTGATATTTTTGACCATGAATCGAATAAAACAGTTGATATGAGGTGAGTGCATTATATAATTTGTTTGAAAATTGGGGATTTAGTTTAGTTTTAAATTAAATACTTTATTGGATAGTGACCAAACGGTAAGAGTGCGAACGGGACTCGAGGTCCCATGCGAGGCACTCCTCCGATTAAAGATTCAACAACAGACAATATATGTAGAATAAAATATACATAACTACAGTCATAAATAAACATATGGCACCAACTCGAAAATCAAATTTCTTTATAATTTTCTAGGGAAATTGGTACAATCGTGAGATCTCTGAAGTGCTGTCCAACAGAAGGGGAATTACATGACATTTTAGCTGATGTAATGTGCCCAATAATTCTGAATGCTATAAATTTGTAATCAACTTCTCAGGCTTTAGTTGTTTCTTAAACAAAGATTTACTGTATACAAACTGAGGGTAGTTTCGCAAATTTAGTCTTCAATAATTGATTTTTGTGTAGGTGCAAACTAGGTGTCAACTTTGTCATATATCTATTATTTCTTTGAATGAATGAATGAATGAATATATTTGTGCAAAGTGCATCCAAATTGCCATCATTTGTATTAAATGCAGTGATTTCATTTATTTTGTTAGGTGGAAGAAGATGAGCCAACAGGATATGTAAGATATGAAAAATTTGAACCTGTCATGATGAACATTTTAATGCAGAAAAAGTTAGTTTGTCGATCTATATTGAAAATTCTTTGTTTTATTAATGAAAATCTAAGTCTTGACAAGCATCCTCTTGACAAGCTTTTCAGCAAATGGTTCATCTAAATATCAATATGTTATAATACATATACAATACAAAAATTGCACATTGCAAATTGAACTATTATACACAGGAGGATTTATATTTCTACATAACATGATGTTGAATTTATTGTCTTATTTACTTACTGTAGATACAGGCCATGTTCAGAAGAGCAGTTAAGAAAAGCTTTTGAAGTTTTAGATCAGGATAACAAAGGTTATCTTACGACAGAAGAACTTACAAAATATGTGACTGAATCAGGAGAACCATTTACACAGGAAGAAATGGAAGAAATGATGTCTGCTTCAGTTGACCCTGACCAAGGAGTTGTATTTTATAAAGACTATATACCTATGATGGTTGTAGAGGAATCCTAAGAAATGTACACCTTGATGAATGAATTTTTGGGGAATGTGAATGCACTGATAATTGTTAAGGTGTTGAACACCTCAGAAAAAAGATCAACAATTGGAGTAACTTATCGAAAGAGTAAAGAAAAATTGCAGAAGTTGCGCTAAAAGAAATCTTAGCAATTATAGGCTACCCTATATAACTCTTTAGATTCATATTCAAAAACTCTTTGTTCTTATATGAAATGCTGTCACAATTCCCATGGCCACTTATTCTGACATGCCCTGAGTTACCAGCTGTTCCCACTTAACGGGAGTAGCGGCTCGAAATATGGATTCACCAGGTTATCTGACGGCAGAAGAAGAATATGTGAAGAGAGAATATATTGTTCGTCTAACTTTCGAGTTTTGTACGGTTTGGTACAATGCGAATTTCCTTATCCCTATCTTCATCACGTTCGTAACTAGTTTACTCTTTCAGTAACATTCTTAACCGCCGGATTCATCCTTTAACAGCTTTACGTGCTGGTAGTTATAGTGAAATTGCGTGCATCGCGCTGTATATTTCTTTCGGAGTAGCTTTTGAGTTTTATAACCGATTTATTATATCATTTCGTTGTGCGGTAAAATACGAAAGTATACACACTACAGTTTCTTGTCGGATAATAATGAAGTTATAATAAAACTTTACATCGTGTTTGCGATATAACAAACAAACAATGCAAAAATAATTATGATACATATTCGAGTTTTGTAATTTGCTGTCATTCATGTTGTTTTCTTTAACTTAATTGAATGAAACTACATGATGTTTGTAATATATTAACAAACACAAACACAAACAACGCAAATACAGGCTACGTTTTCACTCTACCGGATGGCTTTCCGTAGCGACGTGAAAAACACCCTATCCGTACCTTTTAGAAACGCTATTTTCAGAGGAATTATTGCAACGGAGAGATGTTGTTTCGCTCAGCTTCTGAAAGTTGTAGGCCCTACATTCCGTATGGGATAGTTGCTTTTTCGCGCCGCTACGGAAAGGTATCCGATATAGTGTAAACAGTATTCCAATGAGATATATCTTGGTGTTTTCATTATTTTTATATAGAAATTCGCAAACAGTTAGCCAGGCTGGTCGACTCCTGAATTGGCTAAAACCATTGAGTGCTAAGATACATCAACTAAAAATAGATACATGACCTTGCAAGCTAAAGATAAATATTGTCAATCATGCCCACTTCCTGTTGTTGTAGGCGAATAAAATAACCCAGCACATACAAATAGGAAATTTGTTCAAAGTCGTATACATATTTCGTATTTGGACTTTTGGCAACTTGACTCTAACTCAGTGCTTATGTGGACTAGAGTCTGCTTTGAAAACATTATACAGTGAATGTACCTGCAGCATAACCTTGACTGTTTATGGGTATTGATCCTATATTTAAGTCATAGGTAACAAGTTATGCTTCCTCTAATATGTCACATAAACATACGAGAACTCAGGATTTGCTTCTGTCACTTGAGATGTTAGAGCCTGCATCAAAAGTTTGTACAGTATACAGTCAGATCAGTTCTATTTGGTAAACACCTCTAATGAGGACACCTTTTCCGACACAATCTCGTACATTGATGATGTAGTCTTAGTGACACTTCTTTTTTACTGACACTCAGTTACTCTGTGTCTTTGGTGTTCATATTCAGCAGTGCATGGAATTCTCCATCACAATTAGGCATCAACCTCAAAAATTTACTATCATAAACCCTATATTGGTACGTTACCATTCAATGTTTATATTATGGATTTATGATGTATACATTCGCGTAAAGGACAGTTTATCATGCAGGGGACACTTCTTTTAACATTTAATATTCTCTCAAATAAGACTCTCAACCACACTTGATCATCCTTATCTAAACTACTGAACTTATAAGCATGCATATAGTTAGTTAGATCATGCGATATTTAACAATTATTCGCCGAAGGCAAGGTGATTATCGGTGAATAAAAACCGAGACGAAGTCGAGGTTTTTATTCACGATAATCACCGAGCCTGAGGTGAATAATTGTTTTAGTATAATTTCATAGGTGATTATTTGGAAAAAAATAAGAAAATACACATTTCTTCGTCATTTAATTGACAAAAGACACAAAAAGGCTTCGGCCGCCATTTTGAAAATCGCTTAGGTGATTATCGCGTAATAATCACCTCAACGGCAACCAATCAGCGTGGAGAATTTTCAATAATCACCTATGTAATTATACTAATACATGATAACAGTATGTTTCCCAATTCCCATCTCAATTAAAATTATTAGTATTTTTGAAGGATTTGTAAGAAGTGTTTGAGAGAACTGCTGACTCAGTGTTTAACACCGAGTCAGTTGCTCACTGCATGTTCCCTCAAACATTTCTTACAAAATGAAATCCTTCAATTTACCCATGCAAAATTCCTACTGTGATCACAGAAACTTTGTTAGTGTATACCAGGCTTTATACCTATCGACTATCGTAATTTTAGTATATATATGACACACTATAGAAACTGTCTTACAATGAAGTCTGGAACTTTTGCCGCGTTAGACATGCAGTTTGTATAAGTACAACAGCTATAAATCATCTTGGGTTGTTGTTTTCCCACAATTTCAAAACGTGTATAGTTTTCGACCTGGCATTCGGCGGAACCGCTGAGAGTCGGAAATTATTTGTAAGAATAATAGTAACTTTAAGTGGAGACACTCGACTTCTTGTGCGTATTCAAGGCGTTTTTAGTTCAACTCTACTTTATATATGCTCGGTGTTTTACCTAATTCGTTCACCTTGATATTTTAAAACCTTAAGCTTTGCGTATTGAGATGTAAGTTGTGTAATTCTAGGGCGTCCTGCGAAAGAATGCGTTGGAATTCTATTTAAATATCAGCACATATTTCCTTGTATCACTAGTGAAAAGCTCGTGGTTTAATTATACGCTGGTGGCATCTGTCAGCTGGATATGCGCTTCTATATATCAACCCGTGAGTCATGATAGAAAATCTAACAAAAAGTTTCGGCCACATTTGCTTGTGTTATTAGGAAATTAAACCTTTTCAAATTTTCAAAATTAGAATAAAATTTACTCTTAATTGCTACACGCGGCAGTTTTGAAACGCAAACGCTTGTGGCGGGAAAACTGCATTGTTTTCAATCGCGCAGATGTTCAGCGCGTTTCCTACGGCCGACAAACATCCCATGGTTTTAAACTACATGATGTAGGACTTGCTGTGTCATCATAATGAAGCTGTAACTGCTCGGGATTTATTTAAGTAAAGATACGAAAATAATATGTAACCACAGCGCAGCTGTTCGGACAGCTGCCTGAGTTGGGGTGCGTCTATATACAGTAGGACCTGTTTATTAGCACATGTCTGGAGACTGAATAAAAAGATAAACAGTTAAGATACGTTCACTGCGACACGTTTTGTACAGCCGATCTTTTTAGTAATATTTAATATCTACAAATGAAATCTACAAATACACGCGGTAATGCTATTTGGTGGATCACCAACTCGATCTTGGCCTCTTAATCTATTTTTTGTGCAGTTATGAAAAATGCAACAATATATTTATTACTATAGACCTTATTGAGATAGCTCTGCGGAAACTATGAAATTGAAATTGTAAAAACGAATTGTTTTATATTGAAATACAAAATTATAAGCCTGTGATTTGATTTAACAGAAAGTTTGAAAGACAGTTTAACTAAACTCTGGCAACATAACAGCATATATGGTCACCTGGGTAGCACAGTAAAAAAAGCCGGGCTGGTCGGTTAAACGAGATGATTCGTTTTACCCTTATCACGGATTTTATAAACATCTAAAATGACATTTCAAATTTGAATTAACTTATAGCTTGATTCCAGTATCACTATCAAGTTCATTCAAACGATCTTTTCATGGTCAGGAAAAAAATTTTCGTGTCACAATTCATCCCGGCTAGCCGGGATTGTCCATATATGAACAACCCCTGGCATTCCTAACTACATTATACAACGAAAGCATAAGTTAACCGCTGGGCCTAGCCTTGTGTGTCACCAAGGCCAAGGGACCAAAGTTTACATTATCAAAATGTTTGATGAAAAATGTTATCAGTATTTAAACGAAACGTTAACAGAATTTCTGGTAGTATTGAAATACAGCATATATATGCATAGGTCACCTCAAATAGCACGAGTGTCCATTGTGGCCGTGGGTAGTATTCTACGATAAGCTACCGTGGTTTGTGTTTGGACTACCTCCCTGGAACGATGGCTGTCCGGCTAATCTTCCAACGAAGGGCATAAGCTTCTTCATGTAGTTCAGAGTCTTCAGACACAAACCACGGCAGCATATGTGGTCACCTGGCTATCACAATGTCTATAACCAGTACTGAGAACTAAACTACAAAAACATACAACAGCTGTGGCAAGGCTTTCCCACGGTGGCAGTATTGTGTATTGGAATGTTGACATTGAATGGATTATCACTGACTCTATAAATTTGAACAGCTGAGAAAAGAAAGACTTAGGTTAACTGGTCATAAGTTCCGGTTCAACTGCTCTCTTTTGTTTACAAATGACGGGTGTGTACTTAGAGTTGAATTGAAACTCTTGCTTGAAATACACCAGTCGATGCCTGTGTTATGTTGTATGTATTACCTCGACATTACAGGAAGAAACGTTCATAAATCTGGCTTACATTTATAAGAGATCCGATATACTCGTTCAGATCGTCTTAGCTCTGTTTTCGTGAGTTTTGGATGGTATTTTACAAACCAAATTGGCGAGTCTAATTGCGCGTAGCTCTCACTAGAAGCATCCGATGCGATATTAAAATAGCTCTTTATTCAAGAACGCGGGGGTTACCAAACAATAGAGAGATTACGGGCTTCACAATTCAAAACAACAGACAGGTTACTTAAATACAGCTGGCCAATATAAAAATTGTCAGTTCGAAGCTGCCAGTCGAGAGGGAAAGAAGCATTGGATCCCGCTAATAATTTTGTCGTCTTCAAGTCTTAAATTTGACTTGTTTTATCTTACCAAGCATTTGTTAACCATATACCTACTATATACCAGGATGCTGACTCAAACTGAGCTGGGATTTACCGAGGAATCGTGGAACAAAATAGACAATTATTCCGAGGATAACGTCCTCGATTCCAACACATGGCCTCTTCAGCGCGAAGATACGATAAACGAAGCATTTGCTGCCCTGATGAAGACGCTACCGCAAGAAATCGTCAATTCAAAAAATTTGAGCGAACTTGAAATTCTCGTTCTGGCGATGGAGTATATTAAGGGACTAGAAAGCGTTTTGGACAAGGATGAAGAGATGAAGGAATGAATATGTGGAATCGTTCGCAGTGAAGGATCGTACGTGTCCGAATTTCTGGGTCAGGAATTAAGACTATTTCGCGCACATCCCAAGTAAGAGAAGAGCTAGACTGCGTATGGACGGTGTGCCTATTTGGACGAACAACTTTGAGAGCTATAAACTTCCATACAAAATTTTGCTGAGAAATTATAGACTAACAGAAGACAACTGCCCAAAAACATTCAAAACATTTCGGAGACTTTACTATACTATACAATTGTTAGCTTTTTAAATATCCATAAATCATATACAAATCTATAAGCATACATGTGATTTTAATATGCGTCATTACGACTGCATTTTTCTTAGGATTTAGACTGATTTGCAGAGATTCTCCGCGAAATATAAATTGTATAAAGTAATATTGGGAGTGTGTAAATATCAAATGTATATAGAGGGAATGTTATATAAATTAATGTATATATTTATTTTTACATGTCTGCACTTAAAAATTTAAATAAATTTTCTCTTAAAAGATTCAAGGTATTAGTTGTCTTGTGGGATCATGATCTAGAATATCTGAAAATTTTAATTGATGTCTGCGAAGATCTATGTTTTCTTGTTGGTGTCGGGCAATATATATCTTGGAACTTATACAAATGGATTTTTATTTTAGTCCTATATATTTGTGTCTGGTGGCCATAATCGCAAAAGTTTGAAAATACAAGACATAAAAATTCACTGGTTGAAAGCATTTCACAGTTTCGAAATAGATTGAGTAGTCCTTTATTTTTCGAGATTTTATCGTAGCAAATCTCGGTGACGAACACTCCTGACCATTTCACGTAGGAAAATCGGAAAAGGTAATCGCAGATTGGGAATAACCGTATATATTATATTTTCATAGTGATATACCAACGAATTTCAACCGTGCCAGAATATGGTAGTATAATTTGTAACCTATATATTAATTTAAAAAGGCAATTTTCAGTTATAACCATTGACTTAAACCTTACATCAGCCGTACTGCGTAAACTTTCCATTTTATCATATAAATATGGGAATAGTATCAAAATTTAATTCATATTTAGTGTTTCTTAATATATTCAACTTTACATTCCATTTCAACTATCGTGTATGACAACACAGCATGATTTCCGTGCGTTAAATGGTGACCACCCATACTGCACGATTCCACAACAGATAGTCTTGTTATTGGTGGCGCCCTGTATATTTCTGGGTTGGGTTTTAAAATAATTTGGAAATGTATGCATTCAATACCTTTAATATGAAATATTGGCTTATGTACACCCCAGCAAGGTGGTGTATGGTAATTAAGTGTTGACAGCACTTGTGCTATTGGCGTGCGTGCATTTTTTTACCAATATTTCGTAATTTGTAACACCAATAAAATGTTTTTAAAACCGTGTGCGCATTACAGGGATATGATGTAAAAATACTTTAAAATAACAAATTGCTACAGAACTATTGACACTTGTAGAATCAACTTATTTTACTCTATTTTATTTGTCGACCAACAAATAATATCTGCAACTCTTTCATTCACTGTTAATAGACTTAAGCCCCGTTTACACTACGCTCAATTTTTGGTACCGAACCACTTTTTTGGTTCTTGGACTACCTCAATAGCTGGTCCAAGAACCAAAAAAGCTGGGTACGAGTACCAATCGGGGCTTTAATTACTGTATATTCACTTTTGCCCCAATGATCTCGTGAAGATTATATACGAAGAATTTAGTGCTCCTCTTTGATCTTGAGCTTATTTCACAAGCCCATCCTTAACCGTATTGTGCGGATGAAATATGAGAACGATAGCCACATGAAAACGAGGCCATTGGGACAAGAGGCAATGAACCCGGCACAGCTTATTACTCTGGTCAGGCATGCAGTATTTGGCGCAACGCAGTTGTGATCAAATTGAATACAATTGGCTGCGACTATGCCAGAGTCTGGTTTGTTTCAGATGTCCTCACTTCATGAAAATTATCACTTCTAAAACTAGTTTACAGATCATGCCTTTAATAACAAAATTGTCAAGTAAAACAATTGCGTTCTTTATATTGTATATAGGTATTTGCATGTTTGTTATTTGTAATTGTTTTGAAATAGGTGTAAATGCGAATGGAATTTACGTGAAAATATTTTCTGGTCTGGCCCACATTTGACAATGTCAGCCATTGACCAACCCAGCCAGGATGACGCGTATTGTCTTTACGGCAAACAAATATGTCCAAACACCTGCGTTAATAAAATAGCCGATAACAAGTGTCAATTTCGCCCCTACTGACGTAGTTTCTAAGACCGTATTGTTCTTGAAATGACCATAATTACAGGCTCTTGTGTCCTCGGTAATGTACATTGAAATATTTTCAAGCATGGTTGAACCCAGCTGCAACTTCGTGGCTTTATGGCCAGAACCGCTTCTGGCTAAACGTTAATTGCAACAACCTTAATTGCTATATTACATCAACAAATGCATAGACAGTAAATCTTACACAAAACTAAATACCGTCGTTTTATTCCATATTTTCATAAGTAACATTTAATGTGAAAAACGCAGCCTTATCTAAATTGTTCACTAGAAGTATGCTATAAGTATTGACTTGGTGTCATAAAGCGAATGCTAATACATGTAGTGAAAACATTTAGCATAATTTGCTTACCCTCAAAAATGTGTCAAAACATTTGAAGTTTGCTACCATTTCACATTTGTGGCACCGAATAAAATTTGGTGCTGATGAACCTGAAGCACTTGGACGTTCCGAGCGACGTCCTTCTGGCTACGGAGCAATAGAGAGGTTCAGATTTTGACCACTGCTGCCATTACCAATTAACCAATCATATTGTAATGTAGTGGAAGTCATATCTGAACCTCTCAAAGGCCCGTTTACAGTTGCAATTTTTGCTGCGATTTTAGGTGCGATGTTCTTCTACTGATGTATGTGAACGCGAGGGGCATTTCACTCCAAAAATCCCGTACACTTCGTCAAAAAATCCGCAAAAATTCCGAACAAATCCGGAAAATCCAACAGATTTTCTCTTCAAAAATCCGCTAAAAATCCGCTAAATCCTCTAAAAATTCCGCTGATTTTTAAAAATCCGAAAATCCTGCACGGTTCGTCAAAAAATCCGGAAAAAATCCGAACAAATCCGGAAAATCCAAACAAATCCGGAAAATCCAACAGATATTCTCTTCAAAAATCCGCTAAAAAATCGGGGGAAATCCGCTAAAAAATCCGCGGATTTTTAAAAATCCGAAAATCCCGTACGCTTTTTTGGAGTGAAATGCCCCTCGTGTGAACGAGTGGATGAGTTAGAAATGTTTAGATGAGGGTACGTATTCTCAGACAATTCATAACTTATTCACTCGTTCACATCTATCAGAAGAAAATCGCACTAGAAAGACTGGAAATATTAATTGCAGCAAAAATTGCAAGTGTGAACGGGACTTTATTAAAATATAAGGGTATCGCCATGGATCTAATGCAAATTTCCCACTCTCATAATTATCATCGCAATGCATTGACTATAAACTTGTTAGAAAATAATTTATGACTTTATTTAATTGCCTGAAATAGCTAAAAACGAAAGTACTAGATTTCGTGTTGTGTAGCCGTATCTGTTAGTCACTACAGTAAGTAATTTTAGACTTTGCAAATTTTCTGGCAATTACAGTAGGAAATTGGAATTTAGTGAATCAGCACAAGAAACATTGTCTCACAATTATCTTAAAACAAGCGGGAACTTTAAGCAAGCACAAGGCAGGAAATGCCATAAATCGTATATTTACAGCACATGGCATTTACAAAATGAACAATAACCAAAACGGGTCAGCCTGCGTGCTTCGAGTTTTGGCGCGAAAATGAGACACGTTTGATAACCAAGTTATTCAAATGGTAATTTTACGACACTTAAAACATCTGTTGCTGAAATGAACAGACTTATTCGTATTAATGCAAGCAACGATTTATTTTTCTTATAAGGAAGCATTTTTGACTAACCTAAACTATATTAATTTTGTTAAAACTTTTTTCACTCAGTTCTATCACTGTTCTATAAAAGTGTTCTCCCTGGAGGCCAATATAAAGGACCGTTATCTCTGTCAGGTGTTAAGTAGGTATCAAACGAGATATCAGAGTGCAATGTGCATGAGAGTTTGGTAATCACGAAATCTTAGTTGGCTGTTCTTATCTCATCAATTTTCGTTAGTGACTGAGGCTTTAGTATAAACCAATGAAGGAAACCGAACTCATCCAATTTTTGTTTATACTGGATAGCTGTTTCACTTCTGTCAAATTTGTACCGTAATTTTCATTGCACTAACTGCTAAGTGCCCGCCTTAAGGCAAGAGCAACTACTAAACATTGTTGAAGAAACACTTTAAGGTGGGCAAACCAGGGAAACATTGCTTCTTGCACACGTAAAAACGCACAAGTTGTTACAGATATGTCAACAAGTTGTCTTCGCACTGCTTGTTCCCAGTTATTGTAATAAGTTTGGAACAAACTGTTAAAAACTTGTAACAAGCTTGATGGCATTATCAGATTTGTCACAGGGTTGTTCTAACAAGTCCGATACAGTCATGATATATCAGGAATGTTACAAGGTTGACGACACAAGGTTGTAACAATACTGCTATATCATGACTGTATCGGACTTGTTGGAACACCTTGTAACAAGCCTGATAATATCAACAAGGTTGTTCCAAACTTGTTGACAACTTGTGACAAGCAGTGCGAAGACAACTTGTTGACGGCTTGTTGACAAACTTGTTACAAGATGTGAGATTTTTGCGTGTGTAGTTCTCAGCCATGTTTTCCAAAGGTGGGCAAACCATGAAACATTGTTTTCTAGCCAGTTAAGTTTCCCAAAGATGCGCAAACCAATAAACATTCGTCAAATCATTTGTGGAGACCAAATTGCGCTGTATCCAAAATATGTGTGTAAGATGAAGTACCACGACAATGACCGAACTCACGAATCCACGATGCTTATGGTCAGCGATGATCCAAATGAGTGTTACGTAATAATGGAAAACTGACTGATACTGCAAAACACAACAAAACAACTTTTGAACATTTTCTATTTATTTTCTTTTGATTTTGTGTCCTTTTCTCACAGCACAACACACCTGTAAGTATGAGAAATAATTAGACATTAAGACAGGATAGTTTTTATGGTAAATAATGTTTTAATTTCCATTTTAATCAAGTATATCTGCGCACGTGTTTCTAGCCTGGTTACAGTGTAATTGTGTAAACAATTTTTCATGAACGGTCGCAGATAAAAACATTGTCTATTCTCATGACAAAGTTCAAAGTCTTTACCGAGGAAATTCAATGTTTGTGATGATCATTTGATGGTTTCAATTTGCTCAGCCAGATTCAGGCTCAGCTTGGAGCTGGTTGAACATATGATTGGCTGGATCAGATTAAAACCTGTTAATTAGTGCTCTTGACAAACATTGAAGATTTTCACACGAATAGGCAATGCTTTTTTTATCAGCAACCGTTCATCCTTTATAGTTGCAAGTGACAGTAAAAACAAATTCATTTTCATTGGTGATAGTGGAAACAACCCTAGCTTGGGAATGAGGTTGTTCCAATCCCTGTTTATACCATTCCTTGCCCTCAAGCCGGTTGTCATTGAGTTCAACTGACAGACCTTCAGTCTAGCAATTTGGAGGTTACAGTTGAAGGCCTGTGTAGGACTTAGGATTTTGCCCTTGAGCTTATATCAAACGGCTTGAACAAACAATGCTAATTAATTAACAGATATTTAGATGCATTATATACACATGCCAATTGTCCACATCACTATATTTAGTTTTTTTAAATAGTGCTACTGTGAATGGCTCCACATGAAGCAAGCTAAAAAATGTACTCAAACCAACTTGACCTTGTAGATCAGTTGGTAGAGCATTGAACTAGCAAGCCAAGCCAAAGGTTGCAGTTTGATTCCTACTGTGGTCAGGTAATCTTTTAGCTTGTCCATGTGGAGCCACATTTGTAGTGTCATCTTACTCATTTGAAATAATTTACATGAGTTCTAACACCACAATCATTAGGTTTTAAAATTAATATTAATTAAATTTAAAAAATTGTTTCAGTTTGAATTGCAAGACCATGGCCCATCGATTAATTTCTCATCATCGAGCATTTTTCTCACCAAGACACCTTGCTGGTGTTTCCCAGTACATTTCGACGACAGCAGCAAGAAACTATGAGGTTAAAGATTACTTTGAATTCAACGAAAAAGTTTTGAAGTCTGAAAAACCTGTGTTGGTTGACTTTCATGCCACGTAAGTTTGGTTACCTGTCTTAAGCCCAGGTCACACTACACAACGATAATGATAGAAACACATCAATCGTGAGCTTAGCAAGTGACGTTTTTTGATAACACTGACGTCGACCGGAAGTAAAGTTGACGTTTTTCACCAATCACAGCCCTTGACCCAGTCTTCTGACGTTACTCATGCCGTTCGTGTTGTCAAAAACGTCACTTGCTTAAGCTCACTCATGGGCCTCATGCATGAAAATTTGTCAATGCATGGTGACATATATCAGTAGTATACATTTGATATTTATATATAGGTGGTGTGGTCCATGTAAACAACTTGCTCCTATGTTAGATTCTGTGGTGGACATGAAAGATGGTGCGGTAGAACTTGCCAAAGTTGATATTGACAACAATGCTGAACTGGCAATGGAATATGGGGTATGTTATCATGCGTTTACAATTAACAATATTTACTAGACTAACAGCTGGCTAATTAGCCATACATGCATTGGGAAATATCTAACATTTTAGGGGTTCACAATAGTGTAGAAAAATTATTCCTGATTTCCTAATCCAAACATTGTAGTGTAAACCAAATGTATTTAATACTACCTGCTTCTTAAGAATTTGATCATGAAAGACTGGATTACCTACAGGTATTTCCATTGGGATTAGGAGCAAGCCTTTAGGGTGTCTGCCATTGCTTATATACTTAGAAATATCATATGTTGCTAGGTAAATGCTGTACCGACAGTTCTCGGGATTAGGGATGGAAAGGTTGTTGATCGATTTGTTGGTTTGGTGAACAATGAACAACTCGATGACCTTGTGGCCAAAATTACCAATGGTGACTGACGTAAGATTACCAGAATTTAACCATGCTTGGTTAACTCAAAATTCGTGAAGAGATTTATAGCAGTGTGGGCACATATAGGATGTTATGGTGTTATGATAATTAGTATATGCATTTTTAATATGGGTGTGGTATTTGAATCCTAATATTACAATTTCTGCGACAATTATGCTATAATGTTACAAGATTTTTAACTATGTGTGCTTTAGCTAACAAATAGATTACTTTTAGCATGGTCAAGAAATTAGCACTGACCACCAAATGGCTTCTGCAATATCATTATAATTACTGTACAATTATGTCAAACAGTCGTGCCAGTGTATTTAGCAATGATAATTAACAGACTTAACAGACAGCTGTAGATTGAGATACGAAAATGTAAGCAGAACTTCAACATGTCAAGGCTCTACACTAACTTTCCCAACATCACTTGAAACATTGAAGATCTGGTCATATTTTTCAGTTGGTTGTATCTCTCTCAATATGTACAGTATAGCTGTCTGTATAGTTATATTAATCTGCATTTCGAATATTGGTTTCATAGTTATGTTTACTCCAAGGCCCCTTTCACATGGCACCAGACCTTGTAGACCCTGGACCAGTCATATTCTCAACCATACTTTGAAAATTTGTACTTTTGCACTATGAAACAAGATAAAATTCAACCACAGTTAAACAAACGGTTTCTACATGTATTCCCATATGTATCTAAACATCAATATGTACTGTACATAGTATTGTGATATATTTACTACCTATTGTCATAGCATATGCCACTGTTAGCTATAATTTATGCATTTAAAATTTTCACGTAATAATTACACAAATACAGACATACATGATTTAACATCTACATGCTATAACTGGCATTAGCACATACCCATGATTAACAGAATTTTTAAAAACTATGACTGGAATTTGTACTAATTTTTATTCAGAATAATTACATCTACATGTGTTTTACAAGTGCATACTTGTGTGCTATAAAATTGATCAACTACAATTAATGATTGATTATTATTTTACAAGGGACAAGTATGAACCATAATAGTTCTCTAACATACGGCCCCATATAGCACGTAAGTTCTAGCTTCCTTGTATCTTGTGCATGACATCAGAAATTCTGACGTTTGCAGGGGCACCTCAAGCGAGGGGCAATGATTCAGCAGGGACAAATGTGTATACCTTCCTTATATGGATACATTGTTTATCCAAAACTATAGTATATTCAAAACTTAGGCTAGTAGTTTATAAATGTATGAAATGCATATAAATGTATGAAATGCATGGCCAAAAATTATCCTAACTTCAATATGTATTTGCCCAGAACATTTCTATACTTCTAGAACTTTTCAACACTAAAGTTGGTACAAAGTGTCCCTCAAGAAGGAGCTCCCTGAATTTAATCTGGTGCCCCTGCGCATTATCAACTACTGACTAGACTATGTATACTGCAGTTTGAAATTAGAGCTTTATATATAGAGCTTTATATATATATAGTTTCTATTGTTCTTGGCCTCTACCCCGCGCACGTCCTCTTCCGAGCGGCTGTGTAGGTCTTAAGGCCCTGCATCGCAAGGTTTGAACATGGCATTCAGTGGTAGGTTTGGGCATATTGTGGTACACGATGTACGTCTGTCTTGAGACACTCCACCCTTACATAATGCTCGCCTATATAATGTGACCAAATCATCGTAGTCTTTACCATCATATGAAATCTTCCCGGTTGCAGGATTCCCCTAGATCAGGCAAATTTAATAGTTAGTCTAGATTATAGCAACCTATTCAAAGCACGCCTAGTACCAAACTATAAAAGGTAATCCCCGACAGTGCCACCTTAACTGTGCTCCGTGCAGGGACGCCGGAACTGCGGGAGGAGGAGGCAGCTGCCCCTCTTGCCCTTTACCAGGAGGGGCAAGGGGGGCGAAGCTGCCCTTTTGATTAAAGGAAAATGTTTGTTATTAATAGAAAGAATTCGTTCTTGTTATTATAGAACTATATAAACTACATGATATAACAAACTTTTGCTGGAAAACTGTAACAAATGTATGGAAATTAAGTTTATATGATTCCAGTGTTGTTCCAATTTGCTGTTAACGTGCGTGTCACCTCATATTTTTCGCAAAGATCTCTGAAAAAAAATTTGGCCGAGAAGGAGGGCGAAGTTAAAATAACTATAAAGCGATAACAATATATAACGAGCCTCTATATAGCTCAAATTTCGCGTTATGAAAATTACCTCGAGGAGTACATGTTCCACGCCAGTGTTTGTTTTTAAACAAACTATGAAACAACCGCTTTGGGCATAAGTTAAACTAAATCTAATCAGAAAAGTTCCGACTTTCTCTTCATTTCCGATGAGCCGGTCTGCTTCATCCTTTGTCATATAACCCGCAAAGAAACTGAAATATAGAACGTTTGAGAAAATTATTGGAGGACTATAATGTGCCTCCCAGTTGAAGAAGAATTATGACATAATTTTATTTCAAAATCAAAACTGATTTGGAGTAAAAGTAAGGCTTTATTTTTTCACTAGAGAAAAAGTATGAACCACAAAACATTTATATAAGTACAACAGATTATAATACCTATGAGGTCCGCTATTTCCCTTGTACATGATAGAGTCTTTTATCAATTGCGCGATCTGAAAGTAAAAATATATATATTTGCAAAATGAAAGCTACTGCAAATCAATGGCGATGAATATTTTTCAAGAGAACCTTTTCAGCAATTTTTTATGGAAATAAATTGCAATAAATACCTTCTCAAATAATCCATCTTTCCCATCTTTAACAGGACCAAACCAGGCCACTAGGTTTGCAAAATCTTGCTCATGGACATATTTGTTGTGTCTCTCCTCTATATGTTGAAGATTTTAGATAAATGCTATTGATTTAAAGTGGCACTAAAATACTTTCAGCTGCTTTAATTGGATTTCAATTTTGATGATGTTGCATTTTCCAAAGTGGACAAAGGTTGAACTTACCGTAAGGTTCGATCTTAAGCACATAACAAATGAATCTCATGACTTGAGATTGCATACTCTGTTTCCTAAAGTCCCTCTTTAGCACTTCTTCCACCTGTTTCCATTCCTGGAAAAATGTTTAACAATTGAATTCAACTACTCAACCATTAACAGTTTTCCGTAAAGAGTAAATCGCCAGGCTTTAGGCAGTGTACACAGAGGTCAATTAGGGTACATGTACATAATTGCTACTTATTATGTGATCAGTTAATCAAGAGTGCCACTGAAGACAATAATTCAGGCTTAACTTTAATTTCAAAGGAAATTCCAAATTGCTTTCCAAATTAATGTGGGCATTTTGACCAGTTGGTGTAACAATTTTGTATCAAAATCGAAATATTAATTTAAACCAACTATTTAAATGTACGTCCTGTGGTAGCCGCTTGTATAAATTCTCATTAATTAACAAAAATAATTCAAGAAGAATTATGAAAATTCATGAAAAATAACATTTTCATCAAGTCAAATCACAAGCTAGTTTTTTGCTTGAGTAATTTCCATTACTTTAGAAGCATGGATGCTCATGCATGCTATATTTATTTAGTGATTATACAGTATCTTGTGTTTTCAAGATATTTTTATAGTTTATATAAAGTTGACAAGGTTTGTTTTAAAATTGCAGATTAACCCATTGAGTTGCATTGCGCCCTGATGCACCCTACTACTTTATGATTTTACTCAGTCTAATGCCAGACGATTTTACTCGTCAAGGGGAGATCTCGAGTGCTGGTGGCGCTTAATGGGTTAACTGGCATGTGTCCAGTTAACGATTTTACTGTCTGTAACGCCAGATGATTTTTACTCGTCAAGGGGAGAGCGCTGGTGCTTAACCCATTAAGCTGCAGAGCTTCCCCATTGACGAGTAAAACCGTCTGGCGTTAGACAAGTAAAAAAATAAGTAGGGCACACTGGGGCGCGCATTGCGGCTCTTGGGTTAATTGGGCTAAACTAGTTCATGTAATACTTTAGGGGTTTGCATAATGTACCTTTCTAGTCGGTGGTGGAATTTTATGCCAAAAATTAGTAGAATAGGTGGAGTGGAAATTCACCGTTGGTTTCAAATGTTTGGCTATATAGAAATGAGATTTAAAATAGCATAAAGTGGCTTCACTATATTGTTTCATACATTACCATGTGAGATATATATAGATATATAGAGAGAGAGAGGTGTCCTCATTAGAGAGATGTCTATTTTAATTAGACATTCAGATGTCTGTCTTAGAGATTTGTCTGTCTTAAGATAGATGTCTGCATTAAGAGTGGTGCCCAAATTACACAAGAGTACATACGAGAGAGCTGTACATATTATAGAGGTGTCAGTAAATTAGAAAGCAGTACATATAGATAGGTGTTGGAACATTTTACATAATGGTAAACTACCTGGTTTAGTAATACACATATTATCATAGAAAATGTTTAATACATCCTGAAGATCCATCTGATACAAAACTTGAAGAAATTCCGTGGTTTTTTTGCTCGAGAGCTCTTGGAAAAGTTTATGAGTTGGATTTTCTTTAAAATCCCTTGCAATTTTTTCTATGGTGATTGCTTTTACACCCATCCTTGCAGCGACACCACGCCAATCGTCTTGACTTTTATTTGTTACATTGAGGGAGTCTTGCACCTCCTCTTGAATATGATATGGTACTTTTGATATTGTTTCATAATTCTTTGTTCTTTTCTAAAGTTTAATATGGAGAAAAATTCAATAGGTGATACTTTAACAAACTGCCATCATGCAGCATATATAGTGATCAACTGGCTGTTTCTTAGTGAAAAAACATTGTTAATTTTTTTTTTTTTTTTTTTTAATTATTTTCATTCTAACAGTCTTGTGTTTGTGTGTTGTTCAACAGCAAGTACAGAGAAATATTTAAAATGACACTTAATAATAATAATTTATTGATTTATATTGTGCAATTATCAATATTGCAATTTTCAAATGTGCATTACAAAGATTTTAAAAATGACAGTATATCTAAATGTGTTTCATAGAATGGGTTAAATTTGCTTATTGAATTATCCATATAGTTAAAGTATTCCGAATAAAATATTAGGCTAAGCACTAGTTAATATTACCAGAATTTCTTCGAAACGGCTGTGTTCGACACTTCCTTGTCGTGGGAGAAACAAAGTAGGAGGCCTATAACAATAAACCAAACGTTACTTTCCTGTGGAAATTGTGCAGACCAGTGGGATAATATGTGAATAAACAGTACCTGTTAGCTTGTCCATCGCCAGGGTGGTGACCTTCGTCTGATGTTGGCGGTGAATGTCTGTCTCCCTATAAGAAAAGAAAATATTGTGAGGGACAATGTGATGAGGTACGTGCAGCATCCAGTTTCAAGACCCATTTTTTCAAACTCGATGTCTAATGACAGCGGTAACCTCACAAAAACACCACTAAATAGTATGCAGGAATCATACCCACAATCCTAGAGAAAGGCCTTTGCTGTGATAATATGGGTAAGCCTTCGACTCCAAATTGAATTGCGTCTTCCATAATTGAGCTCAGCTCTCGTTTACAAGGATGATTAGCACACATGATTCATACATTGTTTTCTCGTGTTTGGATATCCCGGTGAAACACGCGCTCTCGTTGTTCATATATTACATCAGACCCTGCACAGTGTTATCGATATTTTTCCCTTAGGTAACAATAAATGCCATACACCCTTTTCCCGGTCAATTAAGCTCCTGGCACAATATTTGGATGCAATCACCCACAGTCGCATGATCACACTACTAAATAAATCTTACTCCACCCTTTCCATCACAATCATTCAAACTCACTATACCATTGAGTACGTTTAACCTTAAACGACTTGCAAATTACTTCGCTTCACCAATACCAAAGATGAACAATAAAGTACGTAGTGTTGAAATGTCCCGCAACAACAAGACCTTTGGTAGGATAACTTGACTAATACCATATAGTAATTACATCCTTTTTCACTATCTTTCAACCTTCATTTTTGTACTGTGTAATTATTTTTTCATAATAACTTCGTAATAATTTGTTTTTCTCTTGGTCTCACATTTTGTTCCGAACTCCTAAACTCTCCTGCTTTCCAGATCTACTCTGCAAATTCTATCTACACCTCCCTTAGAAAACCCTGCTGAAAAAGACAGTTACGTCGAAACGCGTACAGGGTTGCCTTCTTACTCAAATTCAATCTCTCGCTCTTATATCCTCGCTTTTTACAGTATCTACGTACTTTAGTCTCTAGCTAATCGTAGTTTCCCTAGTTTTTGCGTACATGTTCATCATAGGAGTCGGAGTAAAGAAAGGATAACCATTTTTGGACTACTGGTCCTCTCATTATTTAGGCTACACAATGTCTTACACCACTACTTGTCCAATTACCTATTTTATACCCATAAATGCCCTAATTAAAATTTTGTGATACCAGATTGCTGAACTGAGAATATAAATCCCGGCTGCGTTAGTATCAGGATAAAATGTAATGAAGTGTAATGTATTGTAAAACACTGCTTCTAGCTCCCCTTTTCCAATTATGACGTCATAGGGGCCCCGTGGAAAGTTTTGCCCTGGCCCTACGCAACCTCTCGCCAGTCCTGCACACCCACTTACTAGTTACTCAAATTGACAAATTCCATATAATACAATTACCTGAGTTCCATTTGGGTTAGCATTTGAATCAAAGTTAAAATGTTCGTCGTCTAATGGGCAGAGATAAGAGAGAATTACTGTCGTTCCAATTGAAGTGTTGCTCAAATATTGATTCAATACATTACCTCGGGCTGACCAATTCATTTCATCAAGTTCCTCGAGATATTCATACACTTCCTAGTATAATTGTAAACTTCCTGTTGAATAGTTTGAATGCACCAATCACCTTTGTTGTTTGTGCAACTAACCAATCATAAATAGAAAGGAAGTGACCAGAAATGATCAAATACTTGGAATTGGCTCTTTCACAGGAAGTGCATGAATATCTCGTGGAACTTGATCAAATGAATTGGTCAGCCCGAGGTAATGTATTGAATCAATATTTGAGCAACACTTCAATTGGAACGACAGTAGAACTAATGAAATTGGGTCAGCACTTGTTTCCATCTACCAAACTGACATGACGTCATTTTCGGAAGAGGTGTTCAATGGCTATGAAACAAACCCAATTCTAACCCCCAACTAACTGCAACTCGAACACCAAATTAATTTTTAAAATCCAAAAAGAAACAACTTTAGAAATTGATCAAATGATGTAACAAGTGAAAACCATAAAATTGCATCAGGAAACTTTTTAAACCAAATGGTATTTAAATGGTATTTTCCTGTCCACAGAGAAAAAAACGGACCATAAATGGTAAATATTAAACATTGTTATATGGTTAGTGTCAAAGTTCAATTTTTCTGTTTGCTGATTGGTCAAAACCAGGGCGCTTATATATATAAGCGCCCTGGTCAAAACTGTATCACGTGCCGATCCACAAAACGTCATGTTCACTGCGTGCTTTGCCGAGGAGGCACACCGGTCCACAATGAAACATCTATTGACCGGTCAATAATAAAATGGGTGCAATACGCATGCGTGTCAACCTAGACTTGCCCACAAGTCGATCTCGAATAGCGAGCGGTGAGTGGCGAAGCCGCGAGATCGAACCGCGAAAAAAACTGGAAAAGACTTTGGGAAAGTCTAGTGAAACAGCAGAGCCACCGAATAAGGAAACGAACGGCAGAGCCTTATTTTTTACGCGAGGGGAAATCAGGCTCAACTCTCAGGGAAGCTTTGAGTGAGAAATTACGTGTTTATTACCATATTCGAGGAAAAAACTACAATATCTCAAAACCTTCTAAGGAAAATGGCATAAATATTAAGCTCTCTTTGAAAAAAAAGCGGCAATTTTAAAGAAGTGTTGTAGTATTATTAAATAATTGTTTTAACTAAAGTCTAAACTTGCTTTGCTCTCAACTTTGTTGTAGCAACGCACAAACGCTTAGCGGCTTTACATAAAATAAAAATTCAAAGTACAGTATATCTGTAACTATTATCGTAGTATTCCCAAGGGATGTAACGATGTACTGTAAACGGCCATATTGATAGTAGCCCTTACCTGAGCTCATTTTTAAGTGAAAAACTGTACAAAATCACAAATCAAATTTGAACAATGACTTCATATGAAACCATGTGAAAACAGCCTATAAAAGGGCATAAAATACGATTAATTCCAACATTTTTCAACCCCTATTTACAGCCATTCCATGCTTCAAAGCACATGCAAGTAATTCCCAAACCAAAAATGATGCATATTGAGCAATGAAAGTTTGAGTCTTTTAACAATTACGAAGTATTAAAACTCACTTTGAGATGCACGCGTTCCGTGTGTGAGGTGTTAATAAGCACGCCAAGCCTATTTTGCTAATTTTTGCAAGAAATGAAACTGGTTTTCTTAGAATTTGGAACACAGGAAGTCGTTTAAAGCTGACAATTAGAATTTCAAATCAGTGATTAGAACGAATCCAAATAGCGATTCAAATATTCGAAATTGGTGTCGAATTTCATTGGAATTTAAATGTTGCTTGGCTAGTAATACCCTGGATTCCAGAGCCTTCAGTAAATAATAAATTGAAACGTCGCGAAGGCTCTGGTTCAACGGGAGGATTCTTTGATTAAACCGCGCCAATCACAAAGTCAAAACAGAATTAGTGGTTTTAGTACAGAATCTGTACTAAAACCGCTAATTCTGTTTTGTGATTGGCGCGGTTTAATCAAAGTCAAAAATCCTCCCGTTGAACCAGAGCCTTCGCGACATTTCAATTTATTATTTACTGAAGGCTGTGGAATCCAGGGTAGGCGAGTATATGACATGCTTTGAAAAGTCAAAAAAATTAGTATGGTCAAGAAATAGCACTTAGCCCACTATTCTTCCCTTGGGCCTGCACGCGGGCTAATCAGCACTGACCACCAACTGATGGCTGCTGCAATATCATAATTACTGTACAATTACGTCAAACAGTCATGCCAGTGTATTTAGCAATGACAACAGCAGCTGTAGATTGAGAGATATGAAAAATATAAGCAGAACTTCAACATTTCGAGGCTCTACACTAACTTCCCCCAACATCACTTGAAACATTGAAGATCTGGTCATATTTTCAGTTGCTTGTATCTCTCAATATGTACAGTATAGCTGTCTGTATAGTTATATTAATCTGCATTTTGAATATTGGTTTCATAGTTATGTTTACTCCAAGGCCCCTTTCACATGGCACCAGACCCTGTAGACCCTGGACTTGTCATATTCTCAACCATACTTTGAAAATTTGTACTTTTGCACTATGAAACAAGATAAAATTCAACCACAGTTAAACAAACGGTTTCTACATGTATTCTCATATGTATCCAAAAATCTACTGTACATAGTATTTTTACCCTCCGTATAAACGAACAACACACAAAATAATACAGTCGTACAGGATTTAAAATCTATATGCTAAACTGGCATTGGCACGTATACCTGATTTACAGAATTTTTAAAAAGGAATTTGTACTAATTTTTATTCAGAATAATTACATCTACATGTGTTTTACAAGTGCATACTTGGGTGCTATAAAATTGATCAACTACAATTAATGACTGAGTTCAAATTTAAAATAAGTTTAATAAACACGTACAGTAGTAGTAGTAGCAGTAGACACGAGGGAAAAGTATTAACCATAATAGTTATCTAACATACACCTCCATATACTGTAGCACGAAAGTTCTAGCCTGCTTGTAAAATGTATCTTGTACATGACATCAAACATTCTGACGTTTGCAGGGGCACCTCAACCAGGGAGCACTGATTCAGCAGGGACAAATGTGTACCTTTCTTATATAGATACATTGTTTATCAACAACTACTGTATACTGTATATCCAAAACTTAGGCTGGTAGTTTATAAATGTATGAAATGCATGGCAAAAATTATCATTACTTCGACATGTATTTGTCCAGAACATTTCTATACACTTACAATTTTTCAACACTAAAGTTAGTACAAAGTGCCCCTCAAGAAGGCGCTCCCTGAATTTAATCTGGTGCCCCCTAGCTGTACATTATCAACTACTGACTAGACTATGTATACCGCAGTTTGAAATTAGAGCTTTATATATAAGGTTTTAGTTTCTATTGTTCTTGGCCTCTACCCCGCCCACGTCCTCTTCCAGCCGGCTGGGGAAGTCTAGGCCCTGCACCGTAAGGTTTGAACATGGCATTCAGTGGTAAGTTTGCGCATATTGTGGTACATGATGTACGTCTGTCTTGAGACACTCCACCCTTGCATAATGCTCGCCTATATAATGTGACCACATCATCGTAGTCTTTACCATCATATGAAAGCTTCCCGGTTACAGGATTCCCCTAGATCAGGCAAATTTAATAGTTAGTCTAGAATATATAGCAACCTATTCAAAGCACGCCTAGTACCAAACTATAAAAGGCATTGTGGGTTACACAGAAGTGTTGGGTGAGTCAAGGAGGCAATCCCCAACAGTGCCTGAGCTTAACTGTGCTCCGTGATCCAGCATAGGTCGTATGGTGGTAGACAGAAGGCCCTAGTAAACTTTCACAATTTGGCTCTTAGCTGGAGGGAATCATTTTAAGTAATTGATATATACTTCAGTTCAACAATTCTATTTTACGAGTTCAGAAAATTACCTCGAGGAGTACATGTTCTGCACCAGTGTTTGTTTTTAAACAAACTACGAAAGAGCCACTTTGGGCATAAGTTGAACTAAATCTAATCAGAAAAGTTCCGACTTTCTCTTCATTTCCGATTAGCCGGTCTGCTTCTTCCTTTGTCATATAACCCGCAAAGAAACTGAAATAGAGAAGGTTTGAGAAAATTATTGTAGGACTATAACATTGGCCCCAGTTGAAGAAGAATTATGACAGAATTCAAAATCAAAGCAGAGGAAAAGTAAAGCTTTATCTTTTCCACAAGAGAACAGATTAGAGAACAGACTACAATACCTATGAGGTCCGGTATTTCCCTTGTATGTGGTAGATTCTTTTATCAACTGCGCGATCTGGAATTAAAAAATATATATTTACGAAATGAAAGCTACTACAAATCAATGGCGATGAATAGTTTTCAAGACAACTTTTTCAGCATTTTTTTTATGGAAATAAATTGCAATAAATACCTTCTCAAATAAGCCATCTTTCCCATCTTTAACAGGACCAAACCAGGCCACTAGGTTTGCAAAATCCTGCTCGCGGACATATTTGGTGTGCCTCTCCTCTAAAAGTTGAAGATTTTAGATAAATGCTATTGATTTAAAGTGGCACTAAAATAGTTCGCTGCTTTATTGGATTTCAATTTTGATGCAGTTGCATTTTCCAAAGTGGGCAAAAATTTAGTAGTTTTAATTAACTTACCGTAAGGTTCGATCTTAAGCACATAACAAATGAATCTCATGACTTGAGATTGCATACTCTGTTTCCTAAAGTCCTGTTTTAGCACTTCTTCCACCTGTTTCCATTCCTGGAAATTTTTTTAACAGTTTTCCGTTAATTGTCTGATGCCAGACGATTTTACTCGTCAAGGGGAGATTGAGCCCGGTTCTGGCACTTAATGGTTGTCTGCCCATGTGTCCAGTTAACCCACTGAGTTGCATTAATTGTTCCCTGATGTACCCTACTTTATGATTTTACTCTGTCTAATACCAGATTATTTTACTCTGTCTAATGCCAGATGATTTTACTCATCAAGGGGAGAGTGCTGGTGCTTAATGGGGTTAGCTTTGTACCTCACTTTAGGGGTTAGCATTGTACCTTTGTAGTCGATCCAGGTTTTGGTGGAATTTTATGCCAAAAATTAGCAGAATAGGTGGAGTGGAAATTGACTGTTGATTTCAAACTTTTGGCTAGAAATGAGATTTAAAATAGCATATAAATGCAGATGAAGTGGCTTCACTATATTGTTCTAATTAATTACCATGTGAGGTAATTATGTAATTATATATATATATATATATAATATAGAACAGATCATTAGATCATCATAAGCTGTTTATTAACCTAAATCTTTATCGCTGTTTTGTTTAGCAAAAGAACCAGTCTTTGGCCTAAAGATAAAGTAAAATGATAATTTAGTGTGTCATGCTTATTAATATATAGATAACATAATTATGAAAATGAAATTACCTTGAGTTTGGTAGTTGGGAGCTAATACTGCCCATTCCTGAATCACTCCGCTAAAAAATTAAAAGAGAACTTTTTAAAAAAAAATGTATGCAGGTTGGGTAGCTTCATTAGTTCGTAAGTTGGTAGGTAGTTCTTAAGCTTAATAAGTTAGCTATGTTAAGTAGATTATATATAAGGGCAAGTGAGTGACAATTAAGCAAGTAAGCAAAAGCGTGATTATTTAGTATATGAGAGTTAGTATATCTCCCTACCTCTGCACTTTCGGGAGTCCCAGTATCTATGTAGAAAACATACCATTACAAACAGTTACCATATAGTTACCATTGATTGTCTAAAATGTTAGAAAAAGTTAAACCATGATGGTGTCTTACCTTTTGGTGTATTGAATGGACTTTTTGGTGTATTTGGAGATGCAATAAATTCGCTGTAGAAAATGTAAAATAATTTCAGTGTGTTTTATTATTTTCAGTGGTTAACTAAATTCCTTATTACATTATTAAAAATAAATCCAGAAATCTTCAATACCTAGCAGATGAGGCACCACTAACAGGTGTTGACTCTTGGCTAGGGAATTTTGAGCTTTGATATTTTTCTCTCTTTTCCCCTGCTCCTGTACTATCTACAAATACAAAAGTAACCCATCCTTGAGTGCCAGTGCTCTCCCCTTGATGAGTAAAACCACCTGGCATTAGAGTAAAATAATAGAGTAGGGTGCATTGGAGCACAAGGCAGCTTTTTAGGTGCATTTTCAGCAGTAGCAGATAACAGATGGTGGTAATCTGGTTGAAATATTGATCATGCAGTAATTGTTTATTATAGTACGTATTGTCTTCATTTGATGATGAATAAAACTAACCAATGCAGTTAATTTGCTCATTCTTATAATTATTCACAGGTATGTAAGTATATATAATCTGGGGTGGCAAATGACCAATGCATGCTCAAAGCTTTGTTAGATTCAACCTATTGTTGAACCTCTTTAATACAGTGCAAAATATCTGTATTAGTAAGGTTCCCTATTGGGGAGATCATTAGAGAAATGGCTGGAAAAGAGATGTCCATATTAGAAAGATGTCTGTATTAGAGAGGTGTCCTCATTAGAAAGATGTCTATTTTAGACAATCAGATGTCTGTCTTAGAGATTTGTCTGTCTTAGAGAGATGTCTGCATTATAGAGTGGTGCCCAAATTGCAGAGGACTAGTACATACTAGAGAGCTGTACATATTATAAGAGGTGTCAGTAAATTAGAAAGCAGCACGTATTAGATAGGTGTTGGAAATTTTAGCATAATGGTAGACTACCTGATTTGTCAATACACATTTCATCATAGAAAATGTTTAATACATCGTGAAGATCCATCTGATACAAAACTTGAAGAAGTTCTGTGGTTTTTTTGCTTGACAGCTCTTGGAAAAGTTTATCAGTTGGATTTTCTTTAAAATCCTTTGCAAATTTTTCTATGGTGGGTGCTTTTACACCCATCCTTGAAGCGACACCACGCCAATCCAATCGACTTTCTTTTGCTACATTGAGGGCGTCTTTCACCTCTTCTTGAATATGATATGGTACTTTCGATATTGTTTCATACTTCTTTGTTTTTTTCTACAGTTTAATAAAAGTGCTATCATGCATGCAGCATATTATGGTGATCAACTGGCTGTTATCTTAGTGAAAAAAACAATGTTAATTATTCTTAGGGGTGCACCAGACACTTTCAGTCATCAAAGAGCATGCAAATGTTAGCTAGACTAAAAAGATTGACTATCATTATAAATGTCATAAATGAAATGTTAATAGTGTACATTTTTCTTGTGTATATATAGTCCAAATTTCTTCCTATATATGCTATATTTCAATAAATAAACTTGATACTCTAAATTCTCTCTAAAACAACAAAGTTACGGTTCTGGCCATGGGTTTTTTTATTAGTCCTGGCCGGAACTGGAACTCTACGAAATGGCGCATCAAATCAAAGTGCCTGGGGACGAGGCTTGTCTTGCATGTGTTGTTCAACAGCAAGAACAGAGAAATATTTAATTTGTGTGGTAACACTCTTCCCTTGACTAATAAAATTGTCTGGAGTAAAATGATAAAGTAGGGGGCATTGCCACTTAATGGGTTAAATTAATTTGCTTATTGAATTGTCGAAATATTCAGAATAAAATATTAGGCTAAGCATTAATTAGTTTGTTACCAAAATTTCTTCAAACCGGCCGTGTTCGACACTTCCTTGTCGTGGGAGAAACAAAATAGGAGGCCTATAACAATAAACCAAAAGTTATTTTCCTGTGAAAGTTGTGCAGACTTGTGGGATAATATGTGAATAAACAGTACCTATTAGCTTGTTTATCACGGTGACATTCATCTAATGTTGGCGGTGAATGTCTGTCTCCCTATAAGAAAAGAAAATATCATGAGGGACAAAGTGATAAGGACTATGTGTAGCAACCAGTTTCAAGAATCAAGACCCATTTTTTTAAACTCAATGTCTAATCATGCACAGAGCAGTAATTTCACAATATATATCATCACCACTATATATATATATATATCACCTCTAGCCTTTAATTGCTACCTGTGAGATGTGCATGCATGTGAATATATATATATAACAATATTAAAGAAAGGACTAAACCAAATCAAATTGCATATATATATATATATATATATATACTCCATAATATTCTGCTCAGCTCTCGTTTACAAGGGTGATAGTACCACCCACAGCGTCACAGAGAGGGGTTGGGCAATGGGGCACTTTGCCCCTAGCCCTCAGCAATGAAGGTCCTAGAATGTAAATCCCAGCTGCGTTCAGCGTTGCCAACTGTAATTTTGTAAAAATCCCAAGTAAGCTCCCAAAATATCCTGCGATTCCCTAAAAATCCAGATATTGAATTCCCACTTTTCCTGGACTTAGCAACGCTCGCTGTGTTAGTGTTGGGATAATATGTACTAAAGTGTAATGTATTGAAAAACACTGCTTAGAACTCCCCTTTTACAATTATTATGTCATAGCCCCCAACCTCCTTGGAAAGTTTTGTCCTGACCCCTGCGCAACCTAGCTCTAGGCAGCCCTGCACGCCCACTTACTTAGTTACTCAAATTGACAAATTCCATACAATACAATTACCTGAGCTCCATATTGGTTAGCATTTGAATCAAAGGTAAAATGTTCACCGTCTAAATGGGCAGAAGTAAGAGAGAATTAGAACTAATAAAATTGGGTCAGCACTTGTTTCCATGACGACCCGCACGCCTATAAATTGAATTATCTTGAAGGTGTTGGTTACCACAGCATTATTAGTCGAGGTGGTAAGAGTGGTGACATGTATAATGAATTTATAGTGAAATAATTTATGCGTGCATGAAATTTAACCCCATAGATATGACGTAGCAAATAACTAACTGAGCTAACATACAAACCAGGTTGTCATCACCAATTCCTAATAATGTTAATTAGCAGACAATGCCGCGCAAAGTTCAAATTGTGCCAAAATGTAGTCTGAAGAAGAGTGCATGCATTCTGCTTGACTTGTGTATGGATTCAGGATGGAGAACAAGATCGATCAAACTGGCAATATTTTGATGGCTGCTTATTAAAGAATAATAATTAATGCGAAGTATTTTCAATCAGTAAGGTTAGGTAATAGTCAAAAGGCTACAGCCTATAGGTATTGCAGCACGCAATCAGTTATTATTTCTTTAGTATACAGTATGCTAGTTACCACGGCTTTCAAGCAGGGCTATCACAACCGCGAGTTGATTGTACTATATTTGTTATTTAATATAGCTACTTATTTCTATATTTTGATAGGCCTACAAGGTAGCAACAAGACAAATAATATTTATTTACATATATAAACCGGGTGGCGCAAAAAAAGTTCAGGCGTTTGATCTATACCATAGCGAAAAAACTATAAACGCTATACGTCGCTCAAATAAATGTAGCTGTATTCATTAAAAGGCTGATAGGTTATACATGAGATATCACCGTATTACGAAATATTGACTGGTGAGATATCAGCGTTTAAATTAAACTTGCGTAAGCATTTTCAAAAGAATCGAAAATTAGTCTAAAATGGCCCATTGAACTAAATTTGATATCATTAGACATTACGCTGGGCATCGCCAGAGTATTTCCCGGGCGAGCTAGTGATGAGTAAACGCGGAGATGAGCCGTACCCCTGGCTTTCAGATTTGACAATATCCAATTTTTTGTGGCTATAGTTGTTTCATATCAAATTTTGAGTATGCCACATCGATAGCGCTAGGTTTTGGAATAATATCTAGAATACTTTTAGTGAAAACTCTTGTGTCAGAAAGATGTCCCATCTTTTGCTGACAGGTTATGAAGATGTCCCATCTTTTCTTAACCAGTGGAAGCTTAAAAGGAGTCTTATATTATTCTTTACATCAGCTAAGTTAGAGTAAGGCGGTGCAGCTTGCGCTATAGGTTTTGGAATAATATCTAGAATACTTTTAATGAAAACTCTTGTGTCAGAAAGATGTCCCATCTTTTGCTGACAGGTTATGAAGATGTCCCATCTTTTCTTAACCAGTGGAAGCTTAAAAGGAGTCTTATATTATTCTTTACATCAGGCTAAGTTAGAGTAAGGCGGTGCAGCTTGCGCTATAGGTTTTGGAATAATATCTAGAATACTTTTAGTGAAAACTCTTGTGTCAGAAAGATGTCTCATCTTTTGCTGACAGGTTATGAAGATGTCCCATCTTTTCTTAACCAGTGGAAGCTTAAAAGGAGTCTTATATTATTCTTTACATCACGCTAAGTTAGAGTAAGGCGGTGCAGCTTGCGCTATAGGTTTTGGAATAATATCTAGAATACTTTTAGTGAAAACTCTTGTGTCAGAAAGATGTCCCATCTTTTGCTGACAGGTTATGAAGATGTCCCATCTTTTCTTAACCAGTGGAAGCTTAAAAGGAGTCTTATATTATTCTTTACATCACGCTAAGTTAGAGTAAGGCGATGCAGCTTGCGCTATAGGTTTTGGAATAATATCTAGAATACTTTTAGTGAAAACTCTTGTGTCAGAAAGATGTCTCATCTTTTGCATGCTGACAGGTTATGAAGATGTCCCATCTTTTCTTAACCAGTGGAAGCTTAAAAGGAGTCTTATATTATTCTTTACATCAGGCTAAGTTAGAGTAAGGAGGTGCAGCTTGCATGCGCTATAGGTTTTGGAATAATATCTAGAATACTTTTAGTGAGAACTCTTGTGTCAGAAAGATGTCCCATCTTTTGCTGACAGGTTATGAAGATGTCCCATCTTTTCTTAGCCAGTGGAAGCTTAAAAGGGGTCTTATATTATTCTTTACCTCACAACACAGGCGCGAGCGTAGATTCCATAGATTAGCTAAGACAATGGTGTCAATGCAGCTATTGTTTTTGGAATAATATATACATTAGATATATACGTTGGTGAAAACGTTTGTACCAGATTCATGTGCGCACTAGGGCCTATAGGAAAAGGCGGTATAATTATATAACTTTATAAGTTAGTTTCTTTATTATTTAGCCACAGAAAACTTACGCTTTGAAGCCGGACTTTTTCTACTGCCAAGATCTAAGACGGCAACTATGTTCCGAGGTCTCGACATGGAATTATCGTGCTATTCTCTAAGATATCAAGAACGTTTTGCTTTACAACACAAGGGTCTTATTACATATTATAAGCAGCCTTATTACACATTGTACACTATATAGTATAGCCTGGCCCTAGGTGACTTGTCAACAGTTAGCATTGTGACATATTTGTACACTTTTATTTTAATGCATAACAGAAAATTAGCTTATTACTTGCTTGGTTTCACACTGCGTTTAAGCAACTGAACCTGGATTGATGACATCTTATAGCGGTAATTAATAATGCGATTAGCGTTGCTTGCCTCCTGAAGTTGCAAACTCAGTTTGCAGATCCCGCTGTTTTTCAAAACGTGCGGGTCGTCATGTCTACCAAACTGACATCACATCATTTTCGGAAGAGGTGTTAAATGACTATGAGACAAACCCTACTCTAACCCCTAACTGCAACTCTAACACCAAATTAATTTTTAAAATCCAAAAAGAAACAACTTTAGAAATTGATCAAATTATGTAACATCAATTCGGTAGATGGAAACAAGTGAAAACCATAAAATTGCTGCAGGAAACGTTTTAAACCAAATATTATTTGGTAAATATTAAACATCATGGTATTTACGATATGGGATATATCTAATAATGAATAATGGTAAGAATTCAGTTTTTATATTCAAAAACCATTACATGTAATTTCCTGTGATATTGCCACTTACATATAAAGGGTTCACAGAATAATAGAGTCGAAGGAAAAATTGGGATTGCAGGATTTTAGGGAGAACAGGTCTATGCCATCAAAACTCATAAAATCCCAAATAAATTACTGATGTGGGCAAGGAGCTTGATCTTATTATTAACCCAATATATATGCCCCTTGTGTAATCACATAAGCTTTGCCCTTTGAGTGATAAATTACGTGTCATAATACGAGGAAAATACTACAATATCCCAAAACCTTTTAAGGAAAATTGCATTAATATCAAGCTCTCTTTGGAAAAATGCGGCAATTTTAAAGCAGTGTTGTAGTATTAATAATTATTTTACAGTAATAATACAGCGCGTAATTAAAATTGCTTTGCAAACTCTTGTTGTTGTTGTGCATGAATTAGCAACGCACGAACGCTTAGCGGCTCTACATAAATAAAAGTTGAAAGTGTATATATGTAGCTATTATTATAGTATTCCCAAGGGATGTAACAATGTATTATAAACAGTCATATTGATAGCCCTTACCTGAGCTCATTTTTTAAGTGAAAAACTGTACAAAACCACAAATCAAATTTGAACAATGACTTGATATGTGTAGACTACTCGCGGTCTATGATATGTGTAAACAGCCTATAAAAGGGCATAAAATACGGTTAATTCCAACAGTTTTTCAACCCTTAATTGCGGCCTTTCCATGCTTCAAAGCACAAGTATTAATTCCCAAACCAAAAATGATGCATTGAGCATTGAAAGTTTGATTATTTTAAGAATTAAGAAGTGTTAAAACTTACTTTGAGATGCACGCGTTCCGTGTGTGAGGTGTTAATAAGCACGCCAAGCCTATTTTGCAAGAAATGAAACTGGTTTTCTTAGAATTTGGGGGACAGGAAGTCGTTTAAAGCTGACCCAAATAGCGATTCGAATATGCGAAATTGGTGTCGAATTTCATTGGAATTTATAAAATGTTGCTTGGCTAGTAATGACTTAATGACATGCTTTGAAAAGTCAAAATAATGCAGAAAAATTGCATATTTTGATTTTTTTAAATGCATGTGAAACTAAGGATTAAGGAAATTGTTTGCATATTGGCATGAAATATTCATGATATATTATTTCGAGTTATATCTTTTTTATTATATATTCAATTTCTTTCACAAGCCCCTTTAAGTTGAAATCTCGATATTACAATCTAACATGAAGTTTCTGACGATCTTCGACAAGTTGAATTTTCAAAATGGCGAAGCGCACAGGAGTGGAAAATCAGTTTTGTGTTGTGCCAAGAAAGTCGATAAAACTTCTTGGTGAGTCAGTTGGTATTAGTTATTTATCTAGCGAAGTTGCAGCTACTGTAGCTGAGGACGCCTCTTATAGAATACGCCAGAGTATTCAGGTATTGTATAAATTTTATTTTCACTATTTTTAATTTGTGTTGGTGTAATCAGTAATGTACTCAGGTGAATATGATTAATAAATCTCACTGTTCTCACATTGTCTCTTATTCTGTTAGCATGTTATTATCTTGATAATGTATTGTATGTGAAAACTATAATGTATTGTATGTGAAAACTCTTTTCTCTTATGTTGAACTGTCAGAGTGCAAGCCAGTTTGTTAAACACGGTAAAAGAGATCACATGACAGGAGATGACATAAACAGGGCTTTATTTTGGAGTCACGTTGAGGTAAGGATTGTCACACCATCATGATAATTACCAAAACAGTGGATACATTATTTGGCCCAAAATAGTGTAAGTGTGATGTTTTTGCAACTCCATTGTTTACCCTGCCAATTAATGTTGAAAAATTCGAGTATATTATCTATCACAGCACAATTTACTGCTGACCATTCAGATATGTTGCTAATTGTGCCATTAAATGGTTTTTAGAAGGCTTTAAATTATGTTTATGTCAAAACCAAACATTGATTTTTCTAGCCAATTTATGGATATGGTTCAAAAAACAGCAATATATTCAGCAGCATATCAACAAAGGATGGAGATCTCTTCTTTCATGACGATAAGGAAATCAACTTGAGAGAACTTGCATTTTCAAAGGGATTCTCGTCATTAAGTGACCTTGGCAGCTGTGAAATCAGTGTTGAAGGTAATAGTCAAATAATGTTCCGTATTTTAATGATTCGAACTCTCAAAATTGTCATGATGCGACAACTGACACTTTGACTTGATGTGACAACTGGCATGTTGACAATGTCACTGGTTTTAGCCAGTTGTTTCCTCCTGCTGGAAACACTGGATGAATGTTGGATGGGCTTAAAACTTCACACCTTATAAATAAAAAAAATGTATAACTGATAGAGGCAGTTATGTATGCCCTGAAAATAAGGTCATGGTACCGTATAAAACCAGGCATGGCTTTTTCTTCATTTTTAGTTTCGGTGTTGGATAAAACATTGGCAAGTAAAAGTGATAGTCAAGGTAGGCAGCACTACTGCATTTCATTTTATATTTAGTTCCCCAGTGATAATTGTTCAACATATTGTAATTTCTTCAGGTGATACTGAACCATCAACTGCCAAACTACCTGAATTTGAAAGTCTCAATCCAGTAAGTTCATTTTTTGTAGCATTGTTTACAGTACATTATTTTCTCCATGTGAACTAATTTATATTTTATTGCATGTACTGTAATTGTACGTGATCATTATACCAAGTGGTTTTATTTCAAAGGTTTCAAAATCATATTTCAACCAAGTGACAAGAAATATAATTGCTGCTGATATTGAAACAGTTAAGGTACTGAACATTGATACTTCCTCCATGTAGATTTTATCAATTTCTGGAGTTAAGCAATGCATGGGGTTCAGGGGACGAGAATAGATCCTGAAATCAAACTCAACTGGTCTGCGACTAAGGTAGACCCTGCCCCAATAGCTTTTGAATTTGGCTTACTAGTTATTTTAGCCTTAATTTTAGACTATTTGTGGAGTTGACACTCGTCAGGCATTTACTCCAGGTTTAGAGGAGCTTAAGCTAAATGCCCTCCACATGGTCAAAAAATTGAGTTAACTAGCTGTTTTAATATGTTTAGATAATTCTTGATGATTTGAAAACGAATCCAAGAATCCAAATTCTTCTTCCATATTTGATCAACTTTATAACAACTGCGGTAAGATTTTTTAAAACATTAATAATAGATATGTAGTTCATATAGATTAAGATATGTGTTAATTTACAGTTTGAAAGTTAGATTTGTGCAGTATACATTCATTGCCCCGACTGAAGCAAGAAAATTTCTATCATTGCAGATGCAGACCCTGAGCGAAGATAATTTAAAACTTGTGAGAGTATTTGAACTTGTCAAAGCTTTGGTTGACAACAAGCATCTCTATTTAGAACCTTATGTGAGTACTGTACAACATAAAAATACTAACTTGACAACTTGTGTTTAATGATGGAACTATCCAGTATAAACCACGAAACAGTGATAAACACTAGGGGGAGGGCAGCCTCCTCCTACCCTGCCCTCCTCCAACCCACCCCAACGCCCAATACCACCCCACCTCGCCTCTGAAAAGAACAGTTTAGAACTGGTAGTAAGATCTGTCCAATATAAGAATCTGTATTCTATAGGTTGTCCAGTTAGTACGAGCAGTAATGTACTGCCTTGTTGAAAAACCTGGCTCAAAAATTTCAACCAGCTGGTTTGATGACTGGAGCTTACGAAAAAAATCTGCACAGACGCTCTGTCATATTGATAGGTAGGTTGAACTTGGTCGTATTTCTGTATGATTTGACTGGATCAATAAGAGATGACTCTTACTCAGTTACTGGAATTCTGGGGAGAACAGTTTAGAACTGATAGAGCTATCCAGTTTAAATGAAGTTAGTTTAGTTTAGGTTTCCTCCTGTAGTAATGCTAGATCATTAAGAGATGATCCTACTGGATCTCTAGGAAGAACAGTTTAGAACTGAAAGAGCTATCCAGTATAAATAAAGTTAGTTTAGTTATATTTCCTTCTGTAGTAACACTGGGTCAATAAGAAATGACTCTTACTAGATCTCTAGGAAGAACAGTTTAGAACTGAAAGAGCTATCCAGTATAAATAAAGTTAGTTTAGTTATATTTCCTTCTGTAGTAACACTGGGTCAATAAGAAATGACTCTTACTAGATCTCTAGGAAGAACAGTTTAGAACTGAAAGAGCTATCCAGTATAAATAAAGTTAGTTTAGTTATATTTCCTTCTGTAGTAACACTGGGTCAATAAGAAATGACTCTTACTAGATCTCTAGGAAGAACAGTTTAGAACTGAAAGAGCTATCCAGTATAAATAAAGTTAGTTTAGTTATATTTCCTTCTGTAGTAACACTGGGTCAATAAGAAATGACTCTTACTAGATCTCTAGGAAGAACAGTTTAGAACTGAAAGAGCTATCCAGTATAAATAAAGTTAGTTTAGTTATATTTCCTTCTGTAGTAACACTGGGTCAATAAGAAATGACTCTTACTAGATCTCTAGGAAGAACAGTTTAGAACTGAAAGAGCTATCCAGTATAAATAAAGTTAGTTTAGTTATATTTCCTTCTGTAGTAACACTGGGTCAATAAG